CCCTTGAAAATCTTCTCAAAAGTCGGGGGTCGTCTTATACGCCGGTATACGTCAGGGCGGCACTTTTTAGGGGGGCGGCGCGGTCCCCCCCTTCCGACGGAAGGGACACTAAGTACAGGGGTGGGCAGAGGGCTGCTGTCTCTTACCTGGCTCCCACGACGACCCAGTCCAGGAAGCGCTGCTCCTTCAGTCACTCCGGCCACTCCCTCACTCCTGCCGCTCGGCTCCGCCTCCTCACCGGTGATTGGCCGCCAGAACTGTAGCTCAGGAAAGGCACACAGGCGGCCAATCACGGGCGAGGAGGCGGAGCTGAGAGGACCCGCGAAAATCGAGTGAGGGAAAAGCCGGTAAGTGTGCAATGCAGAGGTGCTGCTGCAACCACATATGTTGGCTGCAGCAGCACCATACTGGAGCAGGAGTCAGCAAGTGTCATTGGTGTCAGTGGGAGGAATAGTGCCCCATCATTGGTGTCACTGATACCAATGATGGGGCACTATTCCTCCCACTGACATCAATGATGGGGCACTATTCCTCCCACTGACACCAATGATGGGGCACTATTCCTCCCACTGATACCAATGACGGGGTACTATTCCTCCCACTGACACCAATGATGGGACGCTATTCCTCCCACTGACACCAATGATGGGGCACGATTCTTCCCACTGACACCAATGATGGGGTGCTATTCCTCCCACTGACACCAATGATGGGGCACGATTCCTCGCTCTGACATCAATGATGGGGCACTATTCCTCCCACTGACACCAATGATGGGGCACTATTCCTCCCACTGACACCAATGATGGGTCACTATTCCTCCCACTGACACCAATGATGGGGCACTATTCCTCCCACTGACACCAATGATGGGTCACTATTCCTCCCACTGACACCAATGATGGGGCACTATTCCTCCCACTGACACCAATGATAGGGCACTATTCCTCCCACTGACACCAATGATGGGGCACTATTCCTCCCACTGACACCAATGATGGGGCACTATTCCTCCCACTGACACCAATGATGGGGCACTATTCCTCCCACTGACACCAATGATGGGGCACTATTCCCCCCACTGACACCAATGATGGGGCACTATTCCTCCCACTGATACCAATGATGGGACACTATTCCTCGCTCTGACACCAATGATGGGGCACTATTCCTCCCACTGACACCAATGATGGGGCACTATTCCTCCCACGACACCAATGATGGGGCACTATTCCTCCCACTGACACCAATGATGGGGCACTATTCCTCCCACTGACACCAATGATGGGGCACTATTCCTCCCACTGACACCAATGATGGGGCACTATTCCTCCCACTGACACCAATGATGGGGCACTATTCCTCCCACTGACACCAATGATGGGGCACTATTCCTCCCACTGATACCAATGATGGGGCACTATTCCTCCCACTGACACCAATGATGGGGCACTATTCCTCCCACTGATACCAATGATGGGGCACTATTCCTCCCACTGACACCAATGATGGGGCACTCTTCCTCCCACTGATACCAATGATGGGGCACTATTCCTCCCACTGATACCAATGATGGGGCACTATTCCTCCCACTGATACCAATGATGGGGCACTATTCCTCCCACTGACACTAATGATGGGACACTATTCCCCCCACTGACACCAATGATGGGGCACTATTCCTCCCACTGATACCAATGATGGGACACTATTCCTCCCACTGACACCAATGATGGGACACTATTCCTCCCACTGATACCAATGATGGGGCACTATTCCTCCCACTGATACCAATGATGGGGCACTATTCCTCCCACTGACACCAATGATGGGGCACTATTCACCCACTGACACCAATGATGGGGCACTATTCCTCTCACTGATACCAATGATGGGGCACTATTCCTCCCACTGATACCAATGATGGGGCACTATTCCTCCCACTGATACCAATGATGGCGCACTATTCCTCCCACTGATACCAATGATGGGGCACTATTCCTCCCACTGATACCAATGATGGGGCACTATTCCTCCCACTGACACCAATGATGGGCCACTATTCCTCCCACTGATACCAATGATGGGGCACTATTCCTCCCACTGACACCAATGATGGGGCACTATTCCTCCCACTGACACAAATGATGGGGCAAGTAGGGGGTCGTCTTGTACTCCAGAAAATACGGTAACTCACTGAAATCTGTCCGAACCCGAACAAGAGTCTAGTAAATATCCCGGGTATGTTAAAATTTGAAACATGAAATAGTAAATTATAATTTAATAAATAATCATTAAAAATACAATAATATTACATTTAATTCAATAATATAATCAAACCAAAAACACTGAAATGTGAAATATAGCGCCAAGTTCGCACATCACTGAGCAAAGTTGCAGAATCGTTTTCAGTGTCTGATGAGGAATTTCCCCCACCAATCATTATCACTCAATTCTGCAAGTGGTTCTGATTTACTATCGCTGTTCTCTAGCCGGTCTAAAACCGCTTTTGACCTAAAGGGACGCTTTTTTGGACGCCATGGACGTTTCTCAGTTTCCAGGCAGAAAGAACAGTAAAAATGCAGGCAGGGCGCCGGACAAAGCACTCGGGACAAAATGTATGTGAAATGGTTTGATACAGGAATGTTATACTATGTGATTTTAGTGTATTTAGTGAATGTCACTTTTTGACATTTTAAATTTCCGGCCGGTTCCGTCCCTCGTACGTCCCGACGTCGCAGGGAACGGAACCTGGAAGACAGATGCCGGCATCGGCTGGAGGACATTGCCGGGACACTGCAGGAGGGAGCGCAGGACAAGGTAAGTAAAGAAGTGATCCCGGATCAACGCTACAGTGTATTCCTGAGTGTAACTGAAAATGAATTGTGGATATAGCGAGCGCTCAGAAAAACCAGCTGCTGAAACACTTCAAGGGATCACTAAACCTCATAACCGAGACATTGTACATATATATAGTGCAGCGCTGAAATGTGATAAAATTAGTATAAATTCATAGAGTCTTTCTTGTGACAATAAAACCAAATATGTGCAGGTCTTCTCCTCATTAGGTGACTGGAAAATAGCAAGATTGCGCACTCACCGACCGCACATTTTAAATGCGCCTGTGTATGATATAATCCAAAAGACCAGCCAGGTATGCAGCTCCAGAAACCACACGGATCCTCCCTCTCCAACACTGACATCCGCCTTGGGTGTAGCAATATCTCTAGATCCAGAAGCCCTCTTGCCTCAGATAGATAGACAGGGATCCCCCTTCTGGTTCCAGACACCCCAAGAATGGAAGATGTATATCTGCACCCTCCAACAGGAGAGTCAAGAAAAAAGGGGGAACGCCAATAGTGTGGTAGTTTCAAAACTTTATTGGAGCAATAATGCCTGGGACATGTGGCGTCCATCCTCTGAAGAAGGGCTTTTTGCACGAAAGGCCTCAGGAGGAGCCAAGTAGCAAGTGTGACTTCCTGACCACTGAGACCACGAGGAGGTCCAGTGGTCTTTGTTTTATACCATTGCCGGGTTAGTACAATTTCTTTTCATACCTACCTGTCCGTTATTGGCTAATGGTGTATGGATGTGTATGTGCATATGACCCAGGCATTATTGCTCCAATAAAGTTTTGAAACTACCACACTATTGGCGTTCCCCCTTTTTTCTTGACTCTCCTGTTGGAGGGTGCAGATATACATCTTCCATTCTTGGGGTGGTGTCTGGAACCAGAAGGGGGATCCCTGTCTATCTATCTGAGGCAAGAGGGCTTCTGGATCTAGAGATATTGCTACACCCAAGGCGGATGTCAGTGTTGGAGAGGGAGGATCCGTGTGGTTTTCTGGAGCTGCATACCTGGCTGGTCTTTTGGATTATATCATACACAGGCGCATTTAAAATGTGCGGTCGGTGAGTGCGCAATCTTGCTATTTTCCAGTCACCTAATGAGGAGAAGACCTGCACATATTTGGTTTTATTGTCACAAGAAAGACTCTATGAATTTATACTAATTTTATCACATTTCAGCGCTGCACTATATATATGTACAATATTCCTGAGTGTAGCTCGGGGTTACCGCTTGTGGTGCTGAAACTTTACCCCGAGCTACACTGGGGAATACCGCCAGGGGGGTTAATGTGGTCATATTAGGTCAATGATATCACGAGCATCCCCACCAATTTTACCAAATGTGACCACATGGACATATGAGGTCAGTGATGTTATTTCCATGTGGTCTTATGAGGTCAGTGATGTCACAAGCATCCTCACCCCTTCTTAATGTCAGCTGTTGGAATCCCCTGTCCTGCAGCCCAATGGACCAGGAATGACAGCTGACTTCCAGGTCCTGACCTGCTCATCCGTTAAATATGTTCCTCCTTTGCTCTGATCCTCCATATATATTTTTTTCCAATGAATTGCTTCCTAACCACTGGTTTTAATTCTTTTTGTTTTTCTATGTGATCACGTGACCACAAAACTTCAACTTTGGCTGGTTCTCGTACACCAGATGTAGAGAAGGGAGTAAGCCTGAGAACCGGAGCTTTGTGGACATGTGACCACAAAGCGTCAACTTTGGCTGGTTCTCGTACACCAGATGTAGAGAAGGGAATGAGCCTCAGAACCAGAGCTTTGTGGTCATGTGACCACAAAGCGTCAACTTTGGCTGGTCCTCGTACACCAGATGTAGAGAAGGGAATGAGCCTCAGAACCAGAGCTTTGTGGTCATGTGACCACAAAGCGTCAACTTTGGCTGGTCCTCGTACACCAACTGTAGAGAAGGGAGTGAGCCTGAGAACCAGAGCGTTGAATATTTAGGAGGTATTTTAAAAACTGTGAAGAGGGAGGATTGAAGCAAAGGGGAAACAGCATTGGCCAGTACGCTCTCCAAAACCCTCTCACTACTTTGCATGAACTCACATCAAAGTCCCAGCTCTTCCTGGATGTTTTTTTTCTTTGTTGTAGTTCTATTGTAATGACTAACAGCATCTTTCTGGCTGCAGGAATGGATGAAGATGGAGTGCACGAGGTGGTGACGGGGATAGAAGGAAGACATCTAGGGGGGTGGGGGCTGCTGCAGATAGCAGGATGTACAGGTTTGGCGGCTTACTCTGTGTGGGCATTGGTGCTGATGCCTGGCTTCAGGAAAGTGCCATTAAAATTGCAGGTAAGTCTTCTCAAGTCAGAATAATCACACAGTAATGTCCGTAAGAAATAAGGAAGATATGTTGGCTCCTCTCATATAAAAACATAAAAGCCTGGATGAAGTCTCATGTCGCCTTTTCTCATTATAGTCCTGTACTCCCGGATGTTATGATTTGTGACCTATTTTAGCTTGGGCATGCCTTAAAATTCCTTTTTCTGTCAAATAAATACTGCAGTGCTCTGTGCTGGCAGAGCAGAGTAACAGCCACACCCCTCACTACAGCCGCATCCCTCATCACAGCCACAACCCCCATCACAAGTTTCCTAAAGCCGGCCATAGACGGAGTGATA